AGACATCCCAGCTTTGTTTGGGACAGATCCTCTTAAAAAAAATATGTAATAATAATCGATAAATCCCTTTTATTTGGAAAAATAAGCAATCCTATCTTACTACCACATTAGCAAAAGATCATTGATTACACAGATGCATCGCTAATGCAACAGAAACCTTGAGAATGAAAAATAGTGGAAAGACTGGAATATGGACGAGTGGAAGATCCAAATTGCAGTGGGCACGATATTTAAGGCAACATATGTGAATATATCATTATATATTCATTATTGTGAGACATCGTAGCTTTGTTTGGGACAAATACTATTTAAAAAACATATAATAATAGTCGAAAAAGACGTAAACGTTTCAAAATCATGCAGTCCTGGCTTACTATCACATGAGCAAAAGATAATTGATTACACAATGCAACTGAAATATAAACCTCGAGCCACCTCATGAATGCAGTACTTGTAACACAGTATTCCTACACTCTCGTATTTCTACTTTTTAACTACCAGATCCGAGTACTTTTGACACCGTTGACACCAAAACCGTCAGAAAGTAAATGGCCTTGTGTGCATGCATGATGGTTAATAACTCTAACATCTGCGGGTGAATATATGAGGCTATTTGAGAGAGAGAGAAAGGGGGGTCCTGTTACCAGCGTGCCTCGGACCGGCCCATAAACTGGTGTCAGTCTGGAAATAGACTTGTAAATATAGAAGGGTTAGGCAGAGGAGGTGGGAACGAGAGGAAAGGGCAGCCGCGTACCGTCTCCTCCAGAGGTGGGGGGTTACTGAGTACATTTACTCCAGTACTTTATGTTAATAAAGTGTTTTGTTAAAAAGGGCCTGAAAAATCCACTAAAAGAGACAGAGATCGTGCAAAACACGCCGTTTTTAACCATTTAATGAATGGTTGAGATATATATTAAGAGTACACAAAGTAAAGACAATCCGAGTTGTGTATTCTTTTATATGAGTTTTGACGATTGTTTTTTAAACAGAATATAGTATTGCTTGTACCATCTTCTCCAGAGGTGGGAAGTTATTACATTGACTCAAGTGTTTTATGAAAGAGCCGCCCTTTTGTTTTGTTACAAAGGGCTGCCAGCTAGATTATATAAAACTCTTTTCATTTTCAAACTTTCCCAAGAGAGTTTGAGAACATAGAGCAGATGCAGAAGTCAAAAGTTGAAACTAAAAAAAGGGAAATGATGGAGATGTAAAGTACACATGGAGCTAATGAATGCTGTTCTTTAGCATGGAAAATAGGGCTGTATCCGTTGGAGTACTATTTGAGTTTCAATTTCGTTATTCAGATTTTCGTTTTTATTTGTATTTGTATTTAAAATAAGAGCTTGTGCCTCTTCAGGGGGTGCTAACACGTAACCATAAACGTTATCGTTTACTTTCTCCGTCTTTATATGTAGATATGACTTTTTCTCCGTTAATCTCCGGTCACATTGTTTCCATAGCAACAACAACTTCCTGTCAAACAGCGCTACCTCTCCTTCAAAATAAAAGCATACAAAATAGGAAGCCAAGCTAAATTGCACTTAAGACATAAACAACTGCAACGAAAGTAACAAACACAATGTCCTTTTCAATTTCAAAGAACACAGATTGAGTTACATTAACAAATAACTATGAAACAACAATACTGTAGAATAACAAAATGAATGCCGTGAATAAACCGAAATGCACGTGTTGAAGCGGTTCGCTGCTGAGTACTACCGGATATCCGGAGCCCGAAAAATGGTATTCGGGAAAACCGTCAGTGATTACACGATTAATGTTGAAGCTAAAACACAACAATACAGTCTTGTTTTGATTTCTCAAACATAGGTTTTTGCATGTTTTTCTTGGCTCTAAAAAGTTGCAATGGTCAGCAAAAGATTAATTAAGTTATTAAAAGTATGATTGGTTGCAATACTACTTGTCTTTATAACAACAAGGTTAAAAAATGAACCATAAACCCTGTTGTTAGGGTTAGAAAATGCATCAATATCGCAACTCATTTCATATAATATCCAAATCGCAGGAAGACTTGTTAAAGGCTAGATATGTTAAAAAATACTATTTGTAATTAACTATTGTAGAGCTGCAGAGACATCAAGACCAACACAATGTATTCTACCGACTGTTTGGAAAGATCAATTTAACAGGATGCAAGGATAAGAGAATACTTGATGTACAATAGTAGAGACTAAGCTGAACACTTTGAACTGTTCGATCCAACCTATCAAATGTATTTTCTGTGTGTCTTCAATACATATGTAATCAAAAAGCAAAAAGGATCAAGAGAATAATGATGCACAGATTATCAACTCCTGCTAAACTGATTTGCATTATTAAACAAAATAAGCCATTTTTTTCCAAATGGAGCGCAACTCAACGCAAAAGTGCTATTTCTTCCTCAAAGTCACAATATTTCCTCCATTATTGTTCTCCCCCTGGCATCTCCCGTAAAGCCCAGCTGAATTAACGTTTTATCTAATATTTACGGCTACATTTCCTTGACAGCTGGGCAGAAAACCTCCTCTGGGTCAAGGATCCAGGTGTGCATGCATCGCAGCTGAAGTGCATTCCTGAGCGATGATGATGCGTTTCCTCCCGACTGTGTGCCTTGACACGCTGCCGCCGAAATTACAGCGCCACATCAAAGGCTGCCTGCCATGACTCAGCGCGTATAAACACACACACCTACCTCGATGTGTCCAACACACACACACAGAAAAGCAGACTGTCTGTGTGTGGATTAACATTTTTTTTCACACACACACACACACACACACACACACACACACACACACACACACACACACACACACACACACACACACACACACACACACACACACACACACACACACACACACACACACACACACACACACACACACACCACACACACACACACACACACACACACACACACCACACACACACACACACACACACACACACACACACACACACACACACACACACACACACACACACACACACACACACACACACACACCACACACACACACACACACACACACACACACACACACACACACACACACACACACACACACACACACACACACACACACACACACACACACACACTGGAGACTTATCCTAACCTTAACCAACACATGCCTTACCTTAACCCTAACCCCTAATCCTAACCTTCACCCTAAAATTAATGATTCCCCTCATGGGACCTCCATAAGGAGGGCGAGTCCCCACACGTGACTGTAAACAGATTTAGGTCCCCACAAGTATAGTAATGCTAGGACACACACACTTGTGCTCGAGCGCCAGTTGATCTCCACACATTCAGCACTGATTTACACGACACACACGCACGCTTTTATCGCACACACACGCTTTCATCGCACCACGATCAACACATGAGTCAGCCAGCGTTTGCAGAGAATCCTGACTCATGCACACGAAGCGAGAGTCGGGAGGATAGGAGGGGAAAGCAGGGAGTATAAAAGAGAGGACGATGAAAAAGGGGAACGAAAGACTGAAAACTGAGTCAAAACATCCTCTTGATCTCGAACACACTGACTGCAGACCTAACCTCAGCACTACATGTTAATAACACACACACACACACACACACACACACACACACACACACATCCACATCTGGGCTTTTTAAGACTGCAGCAAACTCACGTCTCAATGCAAGCTACAGCTCCTATTTCAATACAATGTACTATTATCAATATTTCATTAAAAGTGATATTCGATAACAGTGACTAGGGCTGTGCAACTAGTCGTATATTAATCTCGATTATGATGTTGGCTTGCAACGATTACGAAAACAACGTAATCGAAATAAAACGATTATTAATTTATTTGTATTAAAAAAAAGAAAAACATTTTTTCAGTTGAATTATACTTCAGGGTAATCAACTGTTAAAAACATTCTTTTCAATCTTTTTTTTCAATAAATTGATGTTTTCAAAGTAAATGGATAATCGTTTTTAATAATCGTGATATCAATTATTGACCCAAATAATCGTGATTATGATTTTTGCCATAATCGCACAGCCCTAACAGTGACAACAAATCAAAACCAGGGTGCCTATTGTGAGGATTCTCTGCTTTTCTTTGTTTGAAATGTAATATTTTAAGTTTTTCTTAGCAATTTCTACACATGAGTTCACTCAACACCGCAAAGAGTAAACCCTATCAAGATTCATTCAATCACAGCACCGTTTTATGTGTTTGCCAATATGCTAACCGCTACTGCACTCATCCCTGTTCTGTAGAAATAAATATATGTTAACGATGTCTCAAGACACACACACACACACACCTCACTTGACCTCAGATGAACCTCGAGCTAATTGTCTACTGCACACAGACCTCAACGTGAACCACATATTGGTGCCACTTCCTGTTATAGGCGAGACTTTCAGCTCCCTGGATAGATGCCTTCAAAGAGTAACTTCTGGCTGCTCAAAGCGCTCGAACGCAGCCTTGTCAAGATCACAGAGACTCCATCCAAAATAGATTCGCTAGATAAAATGCGACTAATAATAGCATGCGGCACTTCGGGTTATTTTAGATTTCAGGGAGGGGAGAAAATATCCTCTTTCACTCATTTTCTCACACACACACTGTCAAATGTGTGTGTCGACTGTAGTAAAGCAATACAACGGTTGTATTTCCTAGATATGAAAGGAGAGAATAACCTTTTGGATTTTTGAACAGCAATCTCCCTTGGAATGTAAATTAACTATTTAATTTGGGTTTTAATCCGGGGTCATTTTAGTGGTTGTGATTTTTCTGTTTTGTTTTCGTAACTAATTTCAAAATATGTTTCTTACTCGTTATTTGCACTCATTGTTATTGTTTGTATGTATCTTCTCTTGCTCTGCAAAGCACTTTACGGGCTGCATCTTGCTTGAAAGTTGCAACATAAATATAAAAATGTGACTAATGCCTGTCAAAGGAGACACAATGCAGCATCTTCAGACCCAAACACACACTTGTATACTCACCCTTCGTTGTCGTCGTGACCCCGTCTGATTTGGTGAAGTCTATGCTGGCGTAGGCTCCGTTCTCCGGCGTGGGCACCGTCCCCGGCGTCGACGCCAAACCCCCGTTGCTGCTCCCGGCTCCAGACGTTACTCCCGCGTTACTCCCATCCTCCCGCAGCTCCAAGGCGATGTAGTTCAGGCCGTTCTGGTATCCCACAGACATGTTCCTGCACATCCTGCCGCCTCCAGAGGATGACGATGCTGCACCCATTTCCATGGATCTTACAGGAGCATGGTGAACCGGTGACTCCCTGCCGAGACCCTCCATGGACACCCACATGCTGTCAAAAGACGCCGAGCTGGTCCACCTGGAAGCCTGACCCTCCGCTAGGTAAGGGGCTGTGGGGTTGGCCAGTGTTGGGGGGTTTGCTGAGGGTACAAGTCCAGACGGAGTTGAATTAGAGGAAGATGTGGAGGAGAAAGTCTCTGAACTGTGTCTCCGTCGGCCTTGCGGGTCGGCTCGAACCACCTTGGGCTCCAGCTGTTGTGTCTGCACCCTTCCTGGGCTCGAAGGGGTGAGAGGAAGGAGAGGGGGTGAGGAAGAGGCGGGGGGAGGGTGGCCGTAACGTCCCTCTATCACACAGAGATGCTGCAGCATGGCTGTCGGACTGGTTTGAGTCCTCTCACCTCTGCTGAACGTCATGTCCGTGTAGTCGTCGTTCATCGACCTCCAGTGATCTCCGGCTCCAGGAGAGGCCCCAGGGTTGGTAGCCAGGGGTCGGATGTAGCTCGGTGGGTTCCAGGGGGCGACTAGACTGGGTCTGGGTGATTGTTTTTTACATCCAGAGGCGTCCTGCTGATCTGCCCCCACCTCCACACTCATATAATCCTGGTGAGGGGAGGAGCGGCGGTCACTTGAAGAAGGCGCTTCGTCTTGGACAGTGTGGGGATAATCGGGGGGCTGTTGTTGGTGAGGATAATGATCACCAAACTCGATGTTTATATACTCTCCGGGACTTGAGGGTCTTTCGGAGGAGCTGACGGTGGCGGGGACAGATGTTGAGGTGCCTGAAGACGCCGTGGGGGGCTCACTAACCCGCAGTGGACCGTGGAAACTTCTTCGGCCCAAAGGAAGGCGGTTCGGCCTCTCGGCGCGTCTGTCGGCCATCGCTGCGGTTGTGTGATGAGCACCGTAAGGCGGGGGTGGGTGTGAAGGGGTTAAATTGCCGCTACTGCCTCCCCCACCCCTTTTCTCTGGTGTTGACATGGAAGCTGTGGCAATGGATGAAAAAACTGGCTTGGCAGGAGAACTCATGGGAACATACTCCCCATATTCCTTCTCATCTCTCTCTCTGGTGGGGGCTTTGTAGGAGCGAGGGAGGGAGAAATAAGGGCTGTAAGACTTTGGGGTGCCCTCAGGTGTACCAGGTGTATAATACCCACCGTTCCCTTCATTTGGGGGCTTTCGTAACCCACCGCTGCAGTACGACATGTCCATATATTCTCCATTTTCTGGTCTCTCTGCTATGTTGTCACTCCCATCGGGCATGCTGGAGCTACTGTGAGGGCTGGGGGAGGCCGGATGTCCTGGGGAAGGAGAGCCTCCGCCCCCTGGGAGCATCATCATGTAGCCGTGGGAGTCTTGGGGCTGGAGCTGGTGGGCTGAACGGTGACCTAAAGTTGGACTGTGAAACTGCGGGGAATTAGAGACGGGGTGGGGGTAAGAGCCGGGTTGCATAGGCATGTAGTCAGGCGGAGTGTCCTGCGACGATGAAGCCACGCCACACATCATAGGCATGTAGCCGCTGTCTTCTTTAGCAGAGGAAGAGGAAGATGGAGGAGGGCGATTAGAGCTGGTTTCAGTACGGGAGAGAGTGGAGGGTCGGCTCGGCTGGCTGTGCTCGGAGCAGGAGCTGTAGTCGGATCGTAGCGATGAAGAAGAGGAAGAAGGCCCGCCACGAAGCAACCCACTGCCAAACGGTAACACGATATCCGACCCTTCTTCCAATGAGAAGTTGGTCTGGGTCATTTTCTGGTAAACTGCTACTCCAGATCCACCAGTCACTCCACTACCGCCAGCAGCAGCAGCAGCCGCTCTGGAGAACGAATGCGTCCTCCTCCTCAGCGACGATGAAGAAAAGCGGTCCTCTTCCGTCGTCGACGTGCTTTCGTCTCGTGGCGTGTCTCCTCCGCTGTTGTTTCCAGAGCTGGTGCCGAACACTTCCCGGTTCCAGCCCATCGCCATGTAGTCGTTTAGACAGTTCTCTTCTCTGATTGGCGGCGTGTTTCCGAGGGAGTCTGGCGTGTTGCTCCGCACCCGGAAGTACCTAAAGTCGCCGGGACTGGATCCGTATTCATCCGATGAGTTGAAGCCTCCGTCGGATGGAGAGCCGCATATTGAGGCGCTCGATGGGCGGGTTAGTGTGTCGGAAACGGAGCCATGGCCGCTACTGGAGGATACGCTAACTGGGCTGGTGGTGGAGGGGAAGTGGGAGACTGGGAGTGAGGCGGAGCGGGCATGGTAAGCGGCCGACGACCCCTGGATGGCTCTGACGTAGCGTCCACTTCCTGTGCTCGTACCAGCATTTCCTGTAGCGACACCACTGCTGCCGGCGCCTTCCTGACGACAATGATGGGCCCGTGCAGAGTTGAGGTGAACCAGACTTCCTGTGGCGGAGCGAAACGGCCGGTTCATCGTCCCCTCGCCCTCACTGGATGTTCGGAAGCGATAACCACTCGCCCCGGAGCTTTTACTCGACGGTGGCGTGCCGACGACTGACTCTGTTCTCGACCGCCGCTGGAGTCCCGTCTGGCTCGGAGGCAGGTTTCCAAGATGGCGCCGCGTTGTGATGAAGGGCATCGGGTTGGAGCCGGATGATTGGCTCTTACTCCTGGGCCGAAACTCTGCAAAAGCTTTCAGGGCTTTCATTGTCTCCAAGATGGTTTCATGCATGTTTTGGGCCACGACAGAATCATCCACCTGCATCCATATCTCCCCGGGCCCGATAGAGGAGGAGCGACCCACCTCAATGAAAAAGAAACTTTCTGAATGTCCACAGCGTCTGATATTCATCAACTGGAGGTTAACACAGGGGGTTTCAGAGTTCAACTTTACCAGGTGAACCGTTTTCGTTGAGAGGCAAAGCCGGTAAACACCTGTGAGGTTTTTAGTTTGACCCAGTCCTTTAGGTTTCACATTCACCTGCCACACCTCTTTAAACACAGTACCAGGGGTGACAGTACCATATCCATCATCTAAATCATCTGAATCCACATGCCCTTTTTTGCCCTCACACATCAACTCACTGACAGCCACGTACCAGTCCTCCTGCTCCAGCTCGTTTTCCGCCACAATGGCAAAATATTCATCCTTAGTGTAAAGCGCAATGAGGTGTTTGTTTTTGGAATCCGCCCTTTTGTTCACCGTGAAGCACTGGTAGAGGTAAATAACCCTTTTCGGGGGAGAAGCGGCCACCACTCCACCGCTTGCAGCAGACGCGGCAGCAGCAGCGGCAGCAGAGCGCAGGCTGCTCCTGAATTTCTTCTCGCTGTCATAATACTCCAAGCGGCTCGGACCGAGGTGACTGGCAGCCCTGAGCACAAAAAACCTCTTATGTCCATGTTTCTGCTTCCTTAAATAGCCACATTTGCGAATATCATCCACAACATCCGAGGTGTTAGTGACGCTCACCGCCGCGTAGACATGGCTGCCGCTAGCGGCGAGCGAAGCGGCAGATTCCTCCGCGGTGGAAGAAGATGAGGCTTTCCTGCAGCCTGGAGACTCTGCAATGTTTTCCCCGGAAAGATGCTGCTGCTGTGGGGCCAGCTGGTAGTGATGGTGGTGGTTGGAGGGCGGTAGATGTTGATGCAAGCGAGAACCACCACCAGCACCACCTCCGATATTAATTAACTGGGAAGGGGGTTCCCCGACCGATCCGTCTCCATTTGTACCGTGCGCCTCCACCATCAACATCACTGCTTTACCCTCCTGGTAATTCGTGAAATTTGCCATTCTGCAATCAAAGGTCACTCTTTACTAGCTATTCGGAGTGGAGCTAGACCCCATTCTTGTTGTTTTTGGGAGACGAGCTCCCAGAGTCTGGCTAGGCCAGTTGGCTCAGATTTTTTTAATGCAAAATCCACACCGGCTTTGTTATTCCGCCAGAAAAGTAGTCCTCTCGTCCCTTTTTTTGTATTCCAACGCGTGCTTTTTTCTCACGGATTTAATCCTGCCGTGTGTGCATGGCCACGCACTGCCGTGTTTTCTATAATCGGGAGGGATCCGGCTAGCTCGGGTTAGCAATCCGTTCCCTTCTCCTCCTTAACACATCTCTACGGGCGAGAGCACAAACAACACATGACCCTCCGCGTCACACAGCAAACGGGAGGAACAAAGACCCAAACACGGCTTCTGATTGGTCTGTCAGTTTGATTGACGTTCAATGAAGGCTGTGGCAACCAATCGCTGTGGGATATTAGAGTTTTTACGTCAACACATGACCCTCTACGTCACACTCCAAACGGGAGGAACAAAGACGCAAACACTGGCTCTGATTGGTCCGTCAGTTTGATTGACGTTACATGACAGCTGCGTCAGCCAATCGGTGGAGGGTATGGGTGCTTTTGAGTCAATAGCTGCCACCAATCACGTTGCAGAGAGTTTTACTGAAGTTAAAAATAAGGCGGTGACTTCAGGGCTGATCTGGAGTCTGTTGTTAGGGTTTACAGCTATTCTTTTGACGTAGAAAGCTGATCCCAGACCTGCAGACGAACCAAAGAGCCCCCGGAGTCTTCCCCCTGTAGCTGTGAGCAGACAGGTCTGGGGTCAGGCTTTAGGTTTTTAAAAAATATATATATATTTCAGACCTTCATGTATTTTATAGGAGCCATTACCCTGAAATGAAATAAATAACAGCTGCTTACACATAATTGTATCAGAAATACTACTTTTATATTTCACGCTTTCATTTCATAATTCATAGAAAATATAAAACCATATGATCCACAAAAATATTCAAAAGTAACAAGATTTATACTTAAAATATGAGCATTAAAAAAGTAAATAAAATGAGAGACAACCAATTAAATACATATCTAAGAAGGATTAATAGAGTATAACAAATATTTGTATTTTGTATGATTTTTACCAAGTATCATTTTGAATGCAGTTTTGAGCAAGATTTAGTAGAAAAATGTAAAGTTAATCTGCAGCAATAAGTCAATATAATGGATCCACAAAGGCCACATTTAGGCAATTAATCATGATTTAATCAATGTTGTCCATGTAAAATCTTATAAAACAAATGCAGAAAAAACAGACTTCCTCTGTAAAATAAAAAATCTAAAATCAAAGAAGTAACTTCAATTTTGAATGGATAATTACGCATTTCACTTGACACTATTCCCTGTAGTTTTTTACCTTGTTTAACATCCCATTTCTCTCTCATCCACCTGTAAGTAAAAGCTAATTTAGTGACCTTAGATCACTCTGATCACGCCCTGAGAATATTAACAGCTCCCCAAAATCTTGGACCGGTTTCCTGCAAAGCCCGAGGTTTATTAAAACGCACAGAGCCGCTCTCCGGTCATGTGAGAATCCGCTTGAGAGTTTGGGAGCCGGCCAGCCAGCGTGTCAGCTGGTGTGACCTCACACGGCCTGTAACGCTCAAACCAATCCCCTCCTTGGCACACTGCGGTGAATTCAGATCAAATCCACGTTTCATTACACCCAGCCTTCCACGGCATCTGCCATTTGTCACGCTTTTTAAAAAGTATTTCACCTCAGGATGCTTTTGAAACTTTGGACGAAGCCAGAGTACGTTTTTGTTTCTCCCATGTCTTTGTGCTAAGCTAATGGCTCATGTGGATCTATTCTAATGTGTGCATATATATAAATGTGTCTGTTGATTGTGTATATATAGGGTATACATATTTGTAGACGTACTTTTGTATTCGGGATTGTGGGAAACGGCATTTCTCTGTCTGTACACACAAACTGAAAGATTGACAATAAAGTTGACTTTGATTCCTTTAAATTGAGCAAATTGCTTAACACCTTTTTACATACTTTAAATCAAAGATAAACGATTTTCCTCATATTTACTGATCATACAAAGGAAACACTTCAAAAATGTATTATAATATTTATTTTTTCTTAATTTAGTTTGTATATAAGCTCAAAATAGTCTTGTCTTATTGTGTATTGATGATGCAAAGGTGACCACAAGTCTGATACGAACAGATCACATTTACTTGAATAACTTTGGACAGAGCCAGGCTACTTTTTCCGCATGTCTTCTTGTCTTTGTGCTAAGCTAATGGCTAACTATTGGCTAATGTTTCTCAAAATGTTGAATTAGAACTTTGCAAGTTGCTTAGAAACCTTGAGATACTCCATACACTATACACTTCTTTCCTCACATTCAAAGATACTTTTCCCCTTTGTATTCTTGTCTTTGTGCTAAGCTAAGGGCTAATGATTGGCTAATGTTTCTCCAAAATGTTGAATTATGACTTTAAATTTAGCAAGTTTCTTCAAAAACTACTTTCCTCATATTTTAAGATCATGCAAAAGCGAGCCCTTCAAACATCCTCTTCATTCACACGCTTTGAGCAAGTATTTAAGCAAAAGTACACACATCCTTTACTCAATTAGAAGTACAGATACTCGTATTTAATTAAAAGTACTCAGGTGAAAGTAGAAGTACTGGCTAAACTTCTTTACTCAAGTGAAAGTAAAGAGGCTTTGAAGTGTACTTCAGTAAAAAGTACCCATAACTAGCAGCTGCTTTAAAGAGTACCTGACCTCCCTTTATATTAATAGAACAATAATGTCATTGTTAGCTAATGAATGTTTCCATGCTGAACAACGGCAACATGACAACGTTTCCATTGGTCCCTCTTCTTTAGAGAAGACCAGGAAATGATGGATACACGGATCGTGTTCAAATCAATAGGCACGCAATGACTCTAAAGAATAATGATCACGCACCAAACACACATTCAGACTAAAGGAACCAGCTGTTTGAGGGCACGAGATAAATTTGTGCACAGATGGAAGGCTGACAGGCAGGTAGCCCATCCAGTTACTTTAGCCGGCTCAGATGATTGGTCGTGCTTTTTACAGCGCCATGGCTTCCACAGATTCAATGTTTTAATGTATTTATTGTCAAAGCATTTAATATATTTATTGCTATCGGGATGTTAAGAGCATTCCATGGAATATAACAAAAAGTGAATTACCTATCCCGTATAATAACGAAGTATTTGTACTACACTACTTCCCACCTCTGGTTCCTAAAGCATTCGAGCAGGACTCTCCCCCCCTCTTTTCCCAGCGGAGGATCTGAGTTCCTCCTCCACTTCTCGGAGAATGCCACGCTCGGCCTCCCAAGCCTCTACTACACTCTGCGTGCAACAATCTGCTGGATACTTTTATCCCAAACACCTTGCAGTGGGATCATGTGAAGTGCAGCTGGTCCCGCTGGGAAATAGACCCTTCAAACACTGCCATGTTTTACCAATGCTCGACCACCTGTCTGCTAAATGTCATTTCATTGGTAATTTGTTTCTGTCCTCATGCATTATGTCCAATGTGTTTGTTATACATCATGCATTGGCCTACAATTTGACCTTTTACAACTATACAATAATACACACTCAGACACTCAAATCCAACACCAGACACTTTTTACGCTGCTATGGACAATCTTGCACTAATGTACATTTCCCAAAGATATAGAAGTGACAGTTAATTTGTATATATAGATTGTTGTGCTTTTTTTCACGTCTAAATGTGTGCATATAAATGTGTCTGTTGATTGTGTATATATAGGATATACATATTTTTATTTATATTTGTATTTTTGTATTCGGGATTGTGGGACACGGTATTTCGATCTCTCTGTCTGTACACACAAACTGAACGATTGACAATAAAGTTGACTTCTCCTGACTTCTCTAGAAATACGTTTTCTTGTTAAGATACGTTTCAAACTAAAGGTCAATTTAGTTGCAGTTCTGGACCTTTGATATAGTAGTATTACACAATATTGCTCTCATGGTGAGTTTGTCTATTATTTTCAAGGTCATTTGCAACCTCAATACCAACGTAATATTTGGGAATTCACTTCAGAGATTGCCTAAGACTCGTTAGCTTATAGCATAAGGCATCACAGGTTTCAAGAGCCGCTTTCACACTAAGTAGGCCTACTTTGCCGTACTTAGTTCCCCGGCACTAAGTACCCCATGAACTAAGTACAGGTCGCGTTCACACCGGAATAAATTCCCTCAGGGAAGATTACGCAAATGAGCCGCTGACGTCACTTCGTCTTCTTCTGCTTTGGGTTTACTGGCAGGCCGCAAACAACTTCACGGCGTATACTGCCGCCCGAAGTCCCCGGCCGGAAGTCCCCGGAGTTAGGGACTGGCTTCAGTAGAAGCTGCTGGGACTCCCAGCAGCTTCTACTGAAGCCTTCCGAGTAAATCGACAGAACGCCGACACCTCCTCATCTCCACCGCTCCCATGTTTTCTTTTGTGTTGCCATAAGTTAGTCTCTCTGTGTTTGTGCGCGGGGCGAATGCTAACAATGCTAATGTCACAAAACTTTTCAGAGTTTTATGGGGCGTGGTTTGCAATTCACCTGGCCAATTGGTACTTTTTTGGTACTTTTTTGGTACCACCTCTCTAGCAGGCACTAAAAATGGGGGTAAAAGTTTCCGGGAATAAGTACTCGGTGTGAACGCATGCACCTATTGGCCCTTATTGTAAGAGATTGGAAAGGGCCATCTTTACAGTTTAAATTACAAAAGAACAAAGGGAGATGGATGTTATAAATGCAGTTAAAAACCAAATCAGACACTCAAAAAGTTCTGTCCACCAATGTAAGAGCGTAGGTTTCCAGGAGTATAACATCAGTACGCTATAATGCACCAAAAGTTGAGGTATTTTTGGAAAATCGGCCAAATAAACATATGAAATTAGCCTCAAAACAAACAAGCGATTTGAAGGGCAAGCAATTTGCAAAACCACGCTATAATTTACCCTGTTGTTTCCCTCTATCACTCTTTCACCTCTTTAACCTCTTGTTACGGAAAAAGTGGACAGCATTGTGAGAGCCCAGGCCTCCCAATCTCTCCCACAATGAGAGAGCTGCCAGTCGAAACCCAACTAACCCCGGGGAAATATCAGCTGCTTTTCAAAGGAAGCCCGGTTCTGCTAACCTCCGTCAGTCAGACCCACCTTTCATCTGCTAACTGTGGGAATATCTGGACTCACATAGCCTCCAACCTTTAGCCTGGTTTCTGTCTCACTTTAATATTAAAGGTCACCTATTATGCAAATTCCACTTTTTCATGTCTCTTCTACATCAACATGTGTCCCCTCTTCTTCATGTCTCTTCTACATCAACATGTGTCCCCTCTTCTTCATGTCTCTTCTACATCAACATGTGTCTCCTCTTCTCCA